CGTGACGACAACATGTAATGTCACCCTGGTATTACATGAAAACGATGAGAAACAGATATTTGTTTTATCCTGTTGATATACTGGTCAAAGAATTGGTGTTTCCAAAAATGTAAAGTTCTCAATTGGAAAATACGACGTTTGAATTATAAAAAAATGACAACTCGTTTCTATCTTCGTGCAATGTTGAAACGTTCGAAAGAGAAATATCGAACGCTGTTAGCTCGTGTTACGTTAACTAAATGAAATCTTCACTTAAGTTCGTCTCTTTCAATCTAAAATTTTTCGTGGCTATATCTTTAGTAATCAAACTTTGAACATGTCTGACGCATAAGATTCAGCATCGCGCAAAATTGAACTAACTCTCAACGATTACCCGAGAGATTTAATAAAAGTAATTAAAATTGCGAAAATTGCTTCATTTACAAACTACTACTTTACGTGTAACACATAGGATTAAAGCAAATTGGTCTCTGCGTTTACCTTGAATGAAAGGTATTACCTTAAATACCATTACCGATTAGTAATTAATGTTTGCCTATTGCAGTTCTTTACAATTAAAAATATTCCAATTAACGAATATCCAGATGAACTGTAAAATTCACCGCAGACTTTAACGATGAAATGAAAAATAGGAAGATAAGGAAATTGAAATCAAAGATTAATTATACCAAAAGCAATCGAATGATTCAAGTAACTGTAAAATAAAAACACATGAAATCTGTCATACCTTGATAATTTTAATATTTTAATATTTCCTATAAATTACAAACTTTGAACTGCACGTGTTTACTAATATAGTTATCCATACTTGTCCTATTCAAACACGCTACGCAATGTAACAAAATATTTTTTACTAGCTTGTAAATGTAATATAAATGTAACATAATATCCTTCAGTAATTATCTCATCTTTTCTCGATTTTCAATAAATATAACAATTCTTTCGAGACTTTCGAACTCAGAACTGCCCACATTGGTCGACCCCAAGGAAATCGTTCGAGCGATGATTCAGCGAATGCAAACATTTAAATGGATCGCATCTCGACGATAGATATGGCAGGAGAGCAACATGGCTTACCGTGGGATTATAACAACGGGGTCTTGATCCGGGCGAACCAACTAGCATTAATACAATTAGCAGAGCTTCCCTAAGTACCGTAACGCGGTGCACGGTCGGCCTGACCCTTGGACTTGGCCCAAATATTCGCTACTTCGGGGCCAAACCACCGCTAACTGTCCACGAATTCTATTACCGAATCTCTGTTCCGATATGCTGCCCCTGTGCCTCGAATATTTTATCAAATTTGACAGAAATGCTAGTGGATGACGAAAAGTAGGATGATCGTGAAACTGAGATAGGAGAGACGGAATTTGCATATGTAGGATAACGAAGGAACAACATATTTGAGAAAAATAGACGTAAAGCGAAGTAGAAGAAGAATGTAAATTATTATTTGACGAATCGATCTAATAGAGTTCGTTGTATGAAATATTTTCTTCTTTTGTTCGAATGGTACGAATTTAAATCTTATTACGGTCCATGTTGTGTATGTGCAACATTATAGCGTAACAGATTGTCACCTGACTAAACAATATACGTTTCTTTTTGGTAAAATTAATTTGAAGTTTAGTAAATTGTCTTCGTTGTACAAAAACGTGAGAAAATATGCGTTTTTATTATCGGTAATTCGCAACAAATTTTTATCCAATAGATCGAACGACATTTGCTTCTAAAACCATTAACAGTTTCACTTACGATAACAATTTATGAGATACGTAGGTTTCCAGTATTTTAATACTCGCATACATTATATCTCATAATGCAAAGCAATCTTGTTTGTATACTTTTGATATACGAGTTACACGATTCATATATGCATAATATTAGAGTACCAACAGTTTCTATGATGCTAGAAATAAAATGGAAGCAATTTAACTCGCGAGAGTAGTAGCAACCGAAGTACATAAAACTATTTCGTTTTAATATCCACCTACCCTCAGAGAACCATACGACTACGTACTTATCTTTCGCTACACTGTATTATGCGATTAAAACAATAAATTACTAAAACACTTTCGAGAAAGGTAATAAAACTATCCACCACGCAGTACAAACATATCTGTTATTATACACATGTATATATATATAGAAAGAGAGAGATAATAAGTGAGTATATGATGTTAAGTATGGAATATATTCTTCAATTAAAACAAGGATATGTTTTTGCTGTTCATTAAAATATACAATATACTACGTATAAACATGAAATTTATCAATCAAAGCACTAAATGAACACTAATAAAATTGTCACGCTTTTACTATGAGATACAATGTTCGCAATCTGATTTAGATATACAAACCTTCTCAAGCTTACCCTTGTTTTTCATTTCAAAATTTACTATTTTCCAAATAAATGTATGACTGAAATTTACAAATTTAGTATGACTGACAAAGAGTTTAATTAAATTAAAGTCATAAGAAAACGCAGGAGAGAAGAGTAGGAAATGCAAATTCATTGCGAAAAGTATACCGAAGAACTCTCAACTCTATTTTAAACAAACGATTGACAAAACATAAAGCACAAATCGACATTGCACGTTTATGTAAACCATACCGCAGATAAACAATGTACCACTAATTATAATCTAAATGGAAAGCTGAACCATTCAAACGGACATTTCATATGCTACAACCTACCTACAAGCATACCATAATGGTTACACCGGTACGTTGCAAACAGATCTATTAGGGACGTAATTGAAATTTGGTGAAAGCGAATTATGAAAAGCCGTTAACGTTACAATTGGAACGCTACTGTTCCTTTGCCGTTATAGGGACACACTTATAAGGGTTTCATCGATGACAAGACACCGATATCTTTGGTACCCAGGTGGCCATTCGTTTACGGTTTAGAACGAAGCCGATCAGCTTCAAAGGCAATTCCAACGCGGCTCGATTGGCCGACACCCCCGGGTTAGAGAGCATCAAACGATCCTGCGGATGGCCGGCCAGCTCGTTCGCGTTTCAAATCTACACGTTCCAGGACAAAGTGGACAATGAGTCTGTGTAGAATCGGCGGGGACGACGACGTCGCCACGCTCCAAATCAATTTCGCACTAGGACGCTCAGCTTGGATATCGGCTGCCCCTACCATTTTATCATAACCGAAAGATGATTGCTAGTTAGTTTCAATCTCCTTTATCGATTTTAGAGTGTCTATTGTTTTTAATGGCTGAATTTATCGCAGATTACTGATCTTATTAATCACATTACTACGAGTCAATCAACAGAAAATATAAATAGCTCAATTAAAATTATGAAGATAGTTATGTGATAGGATAATAATAATTAGAATTAATTAATCTGTTAATTAACGAAGCCAAGGGTGAGATTGACATTGATTAATCACAATCTGCGATTTGATTTCTCGGTATAGAAAATCTCTGTAACGAATTTTTATCTGATTGCGAATTCATGTATGCAATATTGTATACATATAGCAATTACGCGTTAATAAAGTGATCAATGGACTATTTAAACCGTTTAACAAATCTTTACGTGGCAATCATGCGTGAGGATAAACTAGGAAAAAAGAAATTAATTTTTTACATTGAAAAATATAATTACTATGTCTCTCAAAATTCATTTTCCTTAAAAGCAATCAATTTGTTAATTTCGCAAAAGTCATATCCCACAATTAATTGCAAAGCGATTTGCTCTACCGGTTAATCAAATTATTTACGGTTTCCTTTTAACATTCGATCAACCAATGAAACTCCATCCATCTAATTAAAAGTAATTACTTTATATAAAAGTTGTAGAGTATTGGAAAACTGTAATTAAGTATTTGAAAAAATGATACAACGCTATACGGAATATCTTTCGCCTCACGCGCCAATCTGTTGTGTGGCGTATCGATGCGTGTTATCAGAAGCATCAGGGATGTAATATCCACGTGGAAGCTTCCTGTTCACGATCGACGCGATAAGAAAGGACATGTAACCCCGTGTCGTACGTGCATGACTTCCAAAGACGAGAAATAGGGATGTCTCGATGAAGGAACGAGATTAGTATCTCCGCCGTGACATCGAAACGTTACTTCGTGGACCACACACTACCAACGATTTCCACCAGCGCCGAATTCAATAGCAAGCGTGATGCCGCGTTTCCGGCACGTACGAGTCTGAGTATTGTGTTGATCATTCGACGTTTCTGATACGCCAGAGATATCGCGAACAAAATGACATCGATTCCTGATATTCCACAACGTGCTCTACTTTTCGATACTCGGCCTGTTATAGCCAAATAAATGTTTGCCAGTAAAACGTACGAGTTTTTGGTGTTTTACTACGATTTTGTTGGAAATTGTGTTATTAAGATCTATCGAACAGTCTTTCTCCGAACTCAAAGGCAGTTTCTAAAGAAGTTAGATAATAATTCTTGTTTGAAAAGGAAAGAGAAGTTACGCGATTCGCAGCAACATAATTCTAGTTTGGTCATCGTATATAAGTTTCTGTTACTTTCCCGTTCTTTAGCTATCAATCGAATTATAAAGTTTAGAAACCAAGTTTTCTATTAGAGATATATGTCCGATGATGGTAGAATTTTTCTAACAAGCAACGAAGTATTATATATTTAATGTTCGGACAAATATGCATAATTCTGTACTTCAAAGCCACTACTAACTTAGTTCTGGTTAAAAGTCTCGTTTTCTTCTCTGTGGTGTACATTCTTTATAGCAGAAAGGTAGAGTAGTTTTCGATTTTTGCGTACAAATAAATGCAACATCGTTGATGAACGTATTTCACCAGACTATAATTTTCTGATTGTTTCCTTTTGTCAAAAGTAATTGATTTTTATACGAAGAATATACGAATATGGTTGTTTCTCTATTTTGTTGGTGGATAAAAAAAAAGCCTTCGATGAGTCTGACTCTTAAATACTAAATTATCGACAAACATTATCCATCAATTTGACCGATATATGAAGTTCATACTTACTAAGACGAGACAGTTTGTAAGCATCTGCGGTATTAATTACGTCTACGAAAGCTTGCAACTCAAACTTCCGAGTCGTGGTATTCTGGTTATGGTTGAACATCGCAAATTTAAAGGCTGACTGAACTTCGTCGGTGCCTTGCTCGAAGATTGCACCTGCAATTAGAAAACATATATATCGATTACTTTAGTTACTTTATCAACTAACGATACGATCGATGTAAATATATTAATATTCATAAAAGAATGCACGCACGCACTTGACGTTGCTCTGTAACCATTTAAAAAAGTACAAAACAAATTTCTTAAGAATATAACACACGTATCATATACACACATCGCAACATTAAGTGTGGCGTATTTTAATAAAATTGTAATAAAATTTGTAAATAAAATTTCTCTACATGTTGTCACTTAACGACTTGTTTTATAGGATTATATCGTATTCTAAGTATTGTCAGGTTGTCCGAAAAGTTTCTTTCGTTTCGTAAAGTGATAATGGATGAACAATAATTTCTGTTTTATATCATTTTATTGAATTAGGTATGCTTCACTTCGTTATATTTCTATTATTATGTTCGTGCATAATTCAATAAACTAATATAAAACAAAAAACATTCATCGTCTATTATTTCCTTAGAAAACGAAAGAAACTTTTCGGACAACCTAATATTTCAACAGTTCGAGAATTTCTATAGATTAATCAATACATACGCGTTTGATAAGCTGAACTGAGAATTTATAGGGGAAAATAACGATATAACGAAGAATTGTAGGATTTCCAATGCATATTTTTTATTCGCTTCTCGAAGAAAGATTTTTATTAAATCCTGCTAACAAAACCCAAATCTATACGATTAATTATCATCGTTAATTTTCTTATATGAATCGTTATTAATATTCAAATATACATATCCAACAACGATGTTATAAATAAATTTACATTTAGTAAAAAGTAATGTGACAAAGTATTCCACTAAAAAACTACCCTTAATTTCGCGTCTATGAATAAAGTGAAAATGTTTAGAAAAGGTGCGGTATCACCTTTCACAGGTTCGCAGAAAATTTGATTATCCAGTTTATTGATGAAATACGGTATAATAATCCGACAGTGGTAACCTGTATTGGATATATGATAGCATAGAATTTCGTTTGCTAGTGGCTAACATATGGTACAGTGGTAGGAGCCAACGTCTGTTCAGCCACTGCTGGTCCACGACCCTCGTGTAATTACGTCGATCCATTCGCCGTTAATAGTCGGTAATACGTACCGATATTAATGCTACCGCCTGTCCAACGGTTTACCCTAAACTATCTATACAATCGATATTCCCTTCGATCACTGATTACAATATCTCTTAATAAGATAATAGATAAGTTTAATGATTTCACTTATGTAGGGGCATGGTGAAGCAAATATATTCGAGTGATCCAAGCTTCGATATTTTAAAATTCAGTCTTGAACTTTCCACGGAATAATCAAACTTGTTGTATGTTATGAGACGCCATTGATCTTAAGTTTAGAAAGAATAATATCAAAAACGTGAGAATGATACGAATAAGCCTGTATGTGTAGCGTTATTTGAGTCAACGAGAAAGTATGCCAGAATTAATAAAATAAAAAAAAAAAGGTAAAGTAATATACACACGCCACTGAATCGTGATAATTGTAACTGAGAATACTAACGTTAATAGCATCAACTTTTTACTTTTCGATGAGTAGAAGTTATACGCTCGTAAAAAATTATAGCTATCACGCTGTCGACGTATATACTCGATATATTTCACTCTTTATATCGCGACACTAATAACAAGCCGAATAGTTTATTTTCAAACGTAAATCGCACAAAAATTGTTCACAATCGAACTACCTTTAACTTGGCTCAAATATCCTGCTGACTGAAGGAACTCTATCTTACCCAACTCTCTCGTCTATCTTTATTTTCCAATTTCTTGGAACAATTTAAAACGCTATAGTTTGCCTAAAAGATAAAAAATGTAGATTTCACAACGAGCATCGCGTCCCGATTATCGTGGGTCGATGATATCCGGTCGTTTCAGTTGGCAAACATCGAGCTTCCAAGCGATTTGTCACGACAGGCATTGATTTTTCGGTAAACAAAAGTTAAACAAGTTCGGCGCACGTTCCCCTAGTATTTTTTCTGCTCTCTTATTTTTTCGATACCGTGTACGGTTAAACGAACGTTATGTTCATCAAAGGCGGCTCCATACAGCCCGGCAAAATATTCTTTCCAACTTTTAGACAGAGAAAAAGAGTTTGGAAAAATTTGGCCAAACCAAAGAAACGCAGCGTGTGTGTTTTTCCCAGCTTGGCGAACAAACATAAGCAACGAGACGTTACATCGGAATGATTTTCTTTACGACTTTCAAAGTCGCCACGCTAAATTTGACTTTTTTCCGAGTGCTTCTCCTCTCCATCGCGAAATGAGAGAACTTCTCGCATGCTCTCTCCCTACGCCATCGTGCACACCGTAACCTTACGTAATATCGTTTCACGGATTTTTCTTATTTCGCCTTTCTCGCGTTTCTTTCGCACCGCGGCGCGCCTCCGCTACCAACGCTATTTCTACTTTACGCAATTTCTTCTTGTCGTTGCAAATCCGGCGAATCCTTAAAGAATCGCGTATCACCGTGAAACGAAACTCACGAGCTCCATTAAATCAGCCAACAAATGCTGTTCTACGCCCAGGGAATACTCGAAGCACCGAATATTCGAAAATTCTATTCGTTTCTCGTATACCTTACAAATATCTTTATTTATTTCGTTTGAAGTTTCTATTTACAATAGTAGCACAAAAATTAAGGAGCTGCGTTGCATACGTGGTAGAGCACTTACTGACGTTAATCGAATGCTTTTATCTTTCACTATTTATTTCATCATGATAAATAATTTTTTAATTATTTTATACGTGTCTCACGGTACAAGATACCAATTAAGATAAAATTTATTTGATTCTTCCAATAAATGCAGAAAATAGGTATCTTGATGCTTGTGTCGGTGTACATGGTGCACTGTAAACTAAGAGCTTGAATCACTCGAATCTCATTTCTTATTACGATTAGTGTATTATCAGAATTTTCAAATTTTCAAAATACTTGAATATATTTAATAAAAATGCTGTTTTGCACATACGTTTGTTCTAAAATTAATTTTTCTGCTTACTTTTCGTATATCGTGACGAAATTTTCATAAACGTTAGACGATGCTTCGATACTTCTTTACAACACGGTATTTAGTATAGCGGATGCTTCTTGACGAGACGAGAGCCCACGTGATGTACAGACGTATCTGATCGATAAATTTTAGGAGAGAAGCGGATGTCGAGACGTTTGCACCTATGTACATATGTCTGGAGTTTGAGAAGGTCAGGGTAGCTATGACTTTGGTAATTTATGGCTTTATGATAAATTGGCATATTCGAACATTCAGCGAGTTATCTCTGCTGCCTATCTTATGCTATCTGATCTTCCCCCCTGAAAACTAAACTTATAAATGACTGATTCATTTCATCCTACATGGCTTGGTCTTTCTATGGGAGTAAAGCATTTCTTTTCTTTTTTTTTTTTTTTAATATTTCATATTTCATATATTTTAAATACGATATTAACATTAAATAAAAATAAAAATCTTCAAATAGAAATGTGATAATTTCTTCCAGAATTCTGCTCTTATTTTTCAATATTTCTTTAAAAAAAATCATCTTCAAATTTTCTGAACTAATTATCGCAGCAATCAGGGTCAAGCTTTTCAACTCTTGCAGAAACGTTATTTTCAGTCCGGTACATCGAAGGTTACTGGAACTCCTGTTCTCAAACTAAACAAGCATTATGTGGTGTTCTAATTGAGCAGTCGAGCGAGATGACACGAAAAAAGCAACAACATATCGATTTTTCTAAAATCTAGCGTAGCAAATTGTTTCAAATCGACGTAGAAACAAGGTCGATTATACTTTCAACAGGTGTTCGCAACAATCTCCGCGTTGTTTTTGTTCCTAGCGGCGAAAGAACTTGAATATTTCGTGGCAATGTGTAAATCGTAAGAACAAGCTTGCGAAGAAAGCGTTCCTTACTTTCTTTGTGCGAAGGTACGCAGGCGAACAGAATGAAAGAACTTCTTGCTTGCTCGTCCGTCTTTTCTACTTGCGATATCAATGCGACACGCTTCTCTCTGTTCTCTTATCGGAGCACCGCTGTTTCTGCCTTTTCAGATACGCCGCTTCGGGGAACTTCGTAAAACCATATCAGAAGAAACGAGATTATTATTCAGCCGGAGGTTACCAAACGTAGCCGATCGAAAGATAACGCGAATGCATCTCTATCATTTGTATGTATTGTACAATATTCTTGCAATTTTGTTAAAATTAGGTTCTCTAGAAAATTAAAGACTTAATTTTATATTAAGAGAGAGAAAACTAGAGACATGATTTCAAGAAATATTTATTACAGCATCTATCTTCTTAATTTTTATAGTAACTACAATAAATAAAAAGCGTTATGCTTATTGCTGTTCCTAAATTATATTTTAAATTGCTTCTTTTCCAATGACTAACATTTTTACGCGGTATCATTTTTAATTAATTAAATTATTTTTCAGTATCCGGCGTCAGTGACAATTTCATTTTTTTATTAAGTTTCCCTTATTTTATCAACTGGTACGTTACATGCAATTTCCTTTTCGATTCGTTTCTGTACAAAATTGGAAAAACATACTTCGAGAAATATTTATCACAGGATTTCAATCTTTTAAGTGTTTTAATAATCGAACAAAGCATTTTCTTTCATTATCGTTCCTCAATTATACTTTAATTAGAGTATCTTTCAATAACAAATTTTCTTATCAACATTTTACTTTTTTAATCAGATTATTTTTATATAATAACAAGTATTTACGCATAGTCATTTTATTTTTACTTAATTTAATCGTAATTCAATGCTTGGAGTTTTTGTATGGCAATTTTATCTGTATATTATGACTCCTATACCCATCAACAGATTCATTGTTCGTAATACGATATCAAATAGTTAATAACTATTTATTTATGGTTAAAGATTACTGAAAGATTAATGAAAAAAGAGTGATAGATTACAAAGTTAGAAAGTAGAAAGTTTTGCGAGTAGATAGTAACACACATGTA